TAAAAAAGTAATATATTTAAAATACATTTATTTCATACTAAGTATAGTTCAAATCTATTAACATATTTACTGAGAGATAACTCGAGACTTACTGATATAAAAATTATAATTAAACTTTACTTGGCATACTAGATGTGCACAATGCACGTTTCTTTATATTAAGTCTAAAATGTGTTTTAATGTCACTTTTGATGAGGATTGTATGCTCTTTGAATAATATCGCTCTTCAAATTCAAAACATTTAAAGCACTACTTCTGCACAAGTAAAGCGCATTAAGTACAAAAATAGTTGTTCCAATTTAGCAGACTTGAAGTATACCAGTTTAGTACACTAAAAGTACAATTGCAGGGCATTTTATTAAGTACATAATTATGAAAATGCATTTGTAATATACTTAACACGAAATAAATGTATTTCAAATACATTTGAGTATATGTATTTTTCACAAGGGAAGACAAAAATACTGTCAAAGAAAATCATTTTTTGCATCTTCAGAGTGAACTCAGCAGTGGAAACCTCCTCAGATCAACAGAACTGTGAAAGAAAGTCTCTCTGTCTCTGTTAGACCTGTCTCTCTGTCTCCAGATCTTCTGAAGTGCCATCTGATGCCGCTGCTGTCTGGGTGGTCCAGAGAAAGACCATCAGCTCTTAAAGGAGCCGTTCACAGTTAAAACACGGTCATTACTGACTCTCTCATGTCCTTCCAAACCCGTATGCTGATCGTTTTGAATTTCTGAAGAACCGACATGCACTTCTTCTCCACACAACAACAGTTCGAAGTGAACAACATGACTGTCAAACTCCAAAAACAACAAAAAAAGCACCATATCCAGTCACCTTTTTTCTATGGCGCATCATACAGTACAAACTGTTTCAAAAGCAGCTCCAGTAAAGTATTGTAACATGGTGCTCAAGTTAAAAGAAGTTAAACTTTTAATAAGCCGTGACCCAGGCTTGATACTTTTGCGGTCAAAAGTGAGCAAAGCCTTGAAATGTAACTTTATTTTTTTTCAGGAAAATCAATGTAATGTATTTTTATTCAATAATATTATTGATTATTATTTAGAAATGTGAGGGGATTTTATGATACTATGGAATATTTGTAACATTTTTATGAGCTATTTTTGTTTCCACTGTCATTTCCGACTGTGAAGGTACCGAGTGTTACTTATTCTTTCAACCTTTTAACATGCCCAAGGTTTTGTTTTGTGTTTTCACATAGCTAATGCGACAAAAGTCTCCAAGAGTCGTCGTATTCTGATGAAGCTACGGTTTTTAACAATTCTAAATGTTTTGATCAAAAGTGACTGAAGAGGTCCTGCACCTCAGGTTTTAACCGCAAAAATGTGTTGTGATTGCTCTGTCTCTTTTAGAGTTTGACAGTCGTGTTGTGAACTTCTGTTATATGGAGAAGAGCTGCATGAAGATTCTTCAAAAACCCTCCTTTTGTGATAATCAACATCATATGGATGTGAAACAGCATGAGGGTGAGCCGATAATGACAGAATGATGATTTTTTTAGGGTGAACTGTCCCTTTAAAGCTGGAACTGTGGATTGTGTGTGTGTGTGTGTGTGTGTGTGAGAGAGTGTGAGAGAGAGTGTGAGTGTGAGTGTGAGTGTGAGTGTGTGTGTGTGTGTGTGAGAGAG